CAATATTTGGGAATGCATCGGCGTAGCCTACTGGCATGTATTCTTTCGAATTAAACATTTCTATACTTTAGGAGTTCTTTGGCATCATTCGTACCTAACTCATATTTTCACTTGTTCTATTTACCCAAATATACATCGCATTCAATACACGTGCATATTCGTGTTCAACACATGCACATACTTATAGCTCTGTGTGTATTTATATGTATCTGTGTATGTTCCACGCATGTACATACTTACACCACTGTATATATATATATATATATATTATTCAAATTGGTATTGATTTGTGTATGTACATGAATGTTCTGAACCCACACAGATGTACATCAGTCGCAGCCGAGAATTGGTTGACAACGATCTGACGGCATTAGTTGGAGAGAGCTACAACCGTGCGTACAGGCAGGTGGTGCGTGTGCAGAAACTGTCAGAGCTGGAGGAGATCATACAGGTACGTCTACACACATGCCCTACATATACAGACATGCTCTACATATACATACATGCTCATGTATGTGTGTACGTATGTTGCGTTGATGTGTACATGTGTTGTTATTTCGTATAGACACTACAAACATTCTCACGTATGTCCGCTTGGAGCCGTGTTAGTGTATACGTACGTTTGCCTCTCAGTATATGGGGTTAGGTGTGTGATGTATAGAGATATGTAAGTAAACCCTAAACCCTATGTAGTCGGTATACAACATGACATAGAGTGGCACAGCCATGTTGGTTGTGAATAGAGGAAGGCAATTCACTGTCAAAACATTCGGAACTCGCATGTGATTGTACAAGTACCTTAACATGGAAGCCGACAAGGCAAACCCCTACAACCCTACAACCCAACACGCCCATATGCGTCACATGTTGATGTTGCCACGTCGTTTAGAACCCTAGACCCCACAAAACCCACACCCACTTAGACTGCACAGTACAAAAGCATTGTATATAGCAGGACCGTGCATACAGATAAATATACCTAAACCCTAAACCCTAATAACCTCTTGAACCCTACAACCCTACACAGTACAAGCGTACCGACGACTCCCCCGAAGGGTTACGCAAACAGGCACTGCTGCGTAAGATGTGGACTAGTCGACTGAAACAGTGCCAACGCACAGTGGATGTGTGGCAACGCATACTACAAGTACGCCTGCTGGTCATACCCAGGCAGCAGGACGTGGACATATGGCTCAAGTTCAGCTCACTCTGCAGGAAGGTGCGTACGGATGTTCTGTAAATGTATATGTGTAAATATGTATATGTATATGTATATGTATATGTATATGTATATGTATATGTATATGTATA